TATTGGTGCATATGAATCGGAGTATTGAGTATTGGTGCATATGAATCAGAGTATTGAGAGAGTATTGGTGCATATGAATTGGAGTATTGAGAGAGTATTGGTGCATATGAATTGGAGTATTGAGAGAGTATTGGTGCATATGAATTGGAGTATTGAGAGAGTATTGGTGCATATGAATCGGAGTATTGAGAGAGTATTGGTGCATATTAATTGGAGTATTGAGAGAGTATTGGTGCATATGTATTGGAGTATTGAGAGAGTATTGGTGCATATGAATTGGAGTAATGAGTATTGGTGCATATGAATCGGAGTATTGAGAGAGTATTGGTGCATATGAATTGGAGTATTGAGAGAGTATTGGTGCATATGAATCAGAGTATTGAGAGAGTATTGGTGCATATGAATCAGAGTATTGAGAGAGTATTGGTGCATATGAATCAGAGTATTGAGAGAGTATTGGTGCATATGAATCAGAGTATTGAGAGAGTATTGGTGCATATGAATCAGAGTATTGAGAGAGTATTGGTGCATATGAATCAGAGTATTGAGAGAGTATTGGTGCATATGAATCAGAGTATTGAGAGAGTATTGGTGCATATGAATCATAGTATTGAGGGAGTATTGGTGCATATGAATCTGAGTATTGAGAGAGTATTGGTGCATATGAATCAGAGTATTGAGAGAGTATTGGTGCATATGAATCAGAGTATTGAGAGAGTATTGGTGCATATGAATCAGAGTATTGAGAGAGTATTGGTGCATATGAATCGGAGTATTGAGAGAGTATTGGTGCATATGAATCAGAGTATTGAGAGAGTATTGGTGCATATGAATCAGAGTATTGAGAGAGTATTGGTGCATATGAATCGGAGTATTGAGTATTGGTGCATATGAATCAGAGTATTGAGAGAGTATTGGTGCATATGAATCAGAGTATTGAGAGAGTATTGGTGCATATGAATCAGAGTATTGAGTATTGGTGCATATAAATCAGAGTATTGAGAGAGTATTGGTGCATATGAATCAGAGTATTGAGAGAGTATTGGTGCATATGAATCAGAGTATTGAGGGAGTATTGGTGCATATGAATCAGAGTATTGAGAGAGTATTGGTGCATATGAATCAGAGTATTGAGTATTGGTGCAACTACCCGACACCTCCGTCGCTTCCCACTCTCTGGTCCTGTTCCCGCTGAGGCCCAGCGTGTGGCTTTAATTGTTTCTTTAGTGGTCCCTGACTCCGGGTGACACGCGGCGCAGCACCCTCGGGTGTCGACATCACACGCACACAGTGGACATGATACAATGAGTCACCAGACACTCACACTCGCCGTGCTTACTCCCTCTGCACCGCCATCCTGCACTCACTGAGAGACCGCTGCTCGTCAGATCGGAAATGAACGCACTTTTGATGTTTTATGGAACAAAGGAAACATTTCAAGTTGATTTGTGAAGAACAGAGGAGGTTGTTAAAGCTGTCATATCAGTTCAATTTGAGTAAAAGAATGTTATGAGTTGATTTTCCAGCTCAGTTCATTTCAATTCAATGTATTTTGTGTATCCCATGTCACAACAGTAGTTATCTCAATACATATACTAAGATGTCCTAAAAACTATCAGTTCAAACTCAGAAATGCAGCTATAAAAAACACAGAGCCATTGTTCCATAAGAGGCAGAGACTAATGTTCATAAATGTTACTGCTAAAAAGTATTGGAAATTAGAAATGAAGCAATGAGAAAAAACAAAGGTTCAGGTTCAGTCCTTAAAAACTTCCAAATTACGTTTGTTTAAGATTCAAGATAAACTTTACAGTCCGGGACATGGGGATATTGTCTTGGGCTATTCACCGATGCTGCAGCCGACCAGGGTACAAAAACCATTAAGAAGCGCACAAATATACAAAATATAAAAAAGCGATAAAAGCGATAAAACAACTAAACTTACACAAACTATTTTTATAATATATACATTATGCTGAAACTTATACAAAATCTATTTCTACTTTAAACTGGTTTGCATCTTGAGCCAAAGCTAATTCCTCGTTGGTGAAAATAACAATAATTCAGAATCTGATGTTGACCGAAGCCAAACGAGGGCTTCTCATTGGTCGACTGTGACGTCAATCTCCTACTTCACCCAGTAATCTCGTTTCTATGCTTTTAGAGTTGTTCAAGGCTTTGAAGGTTCTTTTAATGAGACAAAGTTAAAAAAGCTAGTACTGCTTAATTACCATGTGTTTGGGCGGTACACCTCCGCCTTCATGTCAGGTAATTAAGCAGTACTAGCTTTTTATGCTTTGTCTCATTAAAAGAACCTTCAAAGCCTGTATAAACAGTTATGGACTTTGGTCACCTGCCCCCTGTGGACCAATGGCTCTATGTGTTTATGGTATCATTGCAATTGCTGTGTTTAAACTGTTTGATTCTCTGATCTGTGTTGGCGAATCGACAGCTTTGTAAAGTCCTCTGAGATAACTTCTGTTATGATATTGGGTTATATAAAAATGTTATCTGACTATCACCATTGACATCACAGCTTTGAATCTGCAGTATCTCACTACCCCCTTTCCAAGTTGCTCAATAACAAAAAATAAATTCATAACGTAAACGTAAATGTGCACTTTATTGTCCTCGTAGGGAAATCCATCCTCTGCATTTGACCCTGATGCCGCTAAGGCTTATGTCAGGAGCAGTGGTCGCCGTAGTAACAGCGCCCGGGAACCCATCTCCAGATGTTGATGCTCTGGGTCAGGACCAGAGCTGGAGGATTTAACCTAGTGTGCATGTGTTAAGTGGTAGGGGAAACTGGGGCACCTGGAGGAAACCTAGCAGACATGGGGAGAACATGCAAACTCCACTCAGAAAGACCCTGATCCGACCGGGATTCCAAACCAGGACCTTCTTGCTGAGAGGCGATAGTGCTAACCACTCAGCCACCGTGCCGTTCATCTATCCGTACCCTATCTAAACCTACTGCCCAAAAGGAATGACTTTCTGCCATTTTGGTCCCGAAAACTATCTTTCTGTGGACAATTGAGAGTCCATCATTAAAGATACTCACTTTTGTATCAAGACTTTCTCATAACGGCAGACTTCAAACCCTCCCTATTCAATCGGATTCTCCTTCTTTGTGTGTGTAGCCCCCATTGTTCCCGCTCTGGCTTTTGTCTATCTTTGGCTTGAATATTGACGTGTGCGCCTGTTTCTGTGCTCTCTCCTCCTCTGCCTGTGCTGGCTGCCTTCACGGGAGCCTCTCAAACTCACAGTATGTGGCTGCTTTCACCGCCGCCGCCGCCGCCGTTGTCAGGCATGAACCAATCGCTTTAGCCGGAACCCGATATACCACCGAGCTAGAACCGCTGCTCCACCGTCTCCGGCCTCCCCTTCACTCTGCACCATCCACTCTGTGTCCTATTTAAAGAGCGACTAAACACCAAATCAACTTTTTTTAACTCATAAACTGCATAAGTATGTTTATTGTAGTGCTCTCTACATATCCTGGTCATTTTTTTGACATTTTAGTTCAAATTAGATAAAATATCACTTTTGAGCCAAAAAACGCTGTGTGGCGCCCTCTCAACCTTTTTGGTGGTACTACATTTGAATTTGGTTCTGGCCTCTCCATCGACTCTGAAGTTCTCTATGACATCAGTTGTTTTGTGTGACGTCAGTCTGTCAGAGCCAGTGATATGAACCCATTCAACTCTCACACACGCCCCAGCTGCAGTTTGGAGTATTCTGGCGCCATCTAGTGGATTAAAATTAAATTACATGAGTCATTCTGAGATTATTGAGTGTGATTAGGTTCAGGTGTGTAGCTTTACAATTATCTTAGTGTGTAAACAAGGGTGGAATGAGACTTTCTGGTGTAAACTATTGCTTTAAGCAGCAATGACAACTGTCTGCTTTTTTTTGTGTGACAAGTGAGCTGTCAATCACAGCCCAGACCACGCCCAACTCTAAGCCCCCCTTCTTGTCCCTTGGTCCTCCAGGCAACGCCCTTTTTAGAGAACATTTTCAAATCTTCATGTGGGCGGAGTCAGGCTGGGCACAGGTGTTTAGTCGCTCTTTAAGGCTGAGACGTTCTGGGCAAATATCTCGGAAAACAAAACACAACGGTTACAACTGAGATTATTAAGATTAAAATACTCTGATTCTCACTTTTTCTTCCACTGGGTTTTTGGAGTTGTTTGTTGCAGATGAAGGAGGGACTAAGGACAGAGGGGATGATCCAGGACAGTGGTAGTAATCATTATTTATATAGCGCCTTTCACAGACCAGAGTCACAGATTTGCAATATTCAGGAATGTATTTGTCATTTGCAGTAAAACCACATTGGAAAAACTGTGCGAGACTCCCCAGTGTGCAGCAGCGCTTTACAATGTGGGCACTTGTCTCTCAAACTCAGAGATGGGAGCGAGGTCGCCAGTATTCAACATGTTTTTAGTGGTAGGGCAAATCCAACTCTTAGGGATTCACTGACACTGGTATCGGGATACTCGTACTCATACAGGACCCGGTGGATTCTTAATTCATATTAACGTCACGACAGCAGACGGCGAGAAAACAAGAGTAAAGCAGACTGCACTTTGTGTTTAGGCAAAACTGTCATGAGGCAAAACAAACACGTATAAACCAGGAACCTGAAGAAACATCTGAAACTCTCCACCACACAGAGTATAGCACCTTTGCTAGCACTGGAGCTAATTCTATGCACCATGTGTATGAGTGGAAAATAACAGTTGTTTAATGTTGAAATGAGAAATAAAACATTTTAAATTCCAGTTGTATTAGTTTTATGATTTCGCAGGAATAACACAATGCAGTAATATTTACAGTCTATGCAGTACTCGTATCGGTATTCAGTATCGGCAAGTACTCGGTGCATCCCTAGTTGATCTTATCCTAAACAGCAGATAAAACAGGCTTAAACTGTGCCTCCCGATCATCCTCTACCTTTATCTGATTTCCTGCTATTTCCAAGTTTTATATTTTTATTCATGCCGCCCCCTGTTACTTGGAGGTCACTCGGCGCCGCAGATACAAAAGCTGTGAAAAGCCCTTGCTCACCTCCTACGGCGAAGAACAACGCTGCTCAGACAGGCTGTTTGTGCCGCCGCCAAACCACACTCACCTTGAACCCACAACCACAGCCTCAGAACCACAGCCTCAGAACCACAGCCTCAGAACCACAGCCTCAGAACCACAGCCTCAGAACCACAGCCTCAGAACCACAGCCTCAGAACCACAGCCTCAGAACCGCAGCCTCAGAACCACAGCCTCAGAACCACAGCCTCAGAACCACAGCCTCAGAACCACAGCCTCAGAACCACAGCCTCAGAACCACAGCCTCAGAACCACAGCCTCAGAACCACAGCCTCAGAACCGCAGCCTCAGAACCACAGCCTCAAATCCATTACTATTCTTCACCTTGAACCCACAACCACAGCCTCAAATTCATCAAACTCACCTTGAACTCAGAACCACAGCCTCAGAACCACAGCCTCAGAACCACAGCCTCAGAACCACAGCCTCAGAACCATTACTATTCTTCTTCTTGGTCCAGTTTGTATTTCCAAGTCAGAAGCCACTGGTTCTGTTTCAAAGGTGAGATTGCTTTGTCTGAGAGTCCCACAGTTACAGCCCAGAGATAAAATGTGGATGTTATTAACGTTGCACATACTGTGGTTAGAGGATCATTCAAAAGGTTCATTTTGTCTTCAGTTGAAATGTTTTTTGTGGTTCTTTAGAAATACAAGTTACATGTATGCCCTTTTTAAGCATCGGAATTTATAAGAAATGTTATGAAGGTATTTTGTATTCATGCCTTTACCTATTCTCACTCGTTTACACGTCGAGCCAAAGAAAATTCCTACTGTTGTTACGAACAATGGCAATAACGATAATTCTGATGAAATATTATGGTCTAAAACACTTGGATTGGATCGTGCAGGACATGTTTCATTGTTGTTGTTCTGTGCTTCAAGTGAAAAATATGCTGATGACACCACCATCATCGGTCTCATCAGTGACACTGATGAATCCTCTTATAGAGCCGAGATCCAAAACGTGGTTCAGTGGAGTCAAACTAACAACCTCCAGTTGAACGCATCCAAAACATGTGAACTGGTCTACGACTTCAGTCGCAATAGTTCTCATTTGCCTGTCGTAATCGACAACTCCCAGGTGCAGATCGTAGAGGAGCAAGTTTCTGGGTTTAACTCTGTCTATCCTGAAATGGGCTAAAAACACTGACCGAGTCGTTAAGAAAGCTCGTCAGTGTCTCTACTTTCTGCGTAAACTTAGAGAATTTACCACTAACTCTAAGATTGTGCTTAACTTTTATGGCTGCACCATTGAGAGTTTACTTGTTGGTTCTGTGTCTGTGTGGTTTGGAAACATCACAGATAAAGAAAAGAGAGCTTTAAACAAGGTGCTCCGCTCTGCAAAGAGGACCGTGGGCTGTGAGCTTCCTGTTCTGGAGGTTCTTTATAAATCCACACTTTTAAACAAAGCTCTTAGGATTGTTAATGACTCTTCTGGCCACCCAGGAAAAGCCTTGTTCCAGCTTCTTCCCTCTGGCAGAAGATACTGTTCTCTGAGATGCAGGACATCTCGTTATGCGAATAGTTTTTTTCCACAGGCTGTTATCAGTTTGAATAGAGCACTTTAGTGTTTTGCACTCGTATAGATCTGTTTTAAGTTGGTCAACTTCACAGTGACATTTGTTTACTGTTTTTAAAATTTGTTTTATTTTTGTCTTTTAATGTTGTTTTATGTCTGTACTTGTCCTGTGCACACTGGGAACTTTTACTAATGTATTCCAATGTGGTGTTACTGCAAATGGCGAATAAAATGAATCTGAATCGGAATCTGAACATTGTTGGTTTATGAGGATTTATAAAAAGTGTCTTCTTTGGACATAGAAGAGCAGATCCTGTCAGACCTCTGAAGCTGTGCAGGGCAGGGCCTGGTTAGTGCTGTGATGGGAGACCTCTGGGAACAGCAGGTGCCACAGTGGGGCGGCTGTGGCTGTAAAGTGCTTAACTATGGGCAGTTTCAAAATGGCCGCGGGGGCTGGAAAATGTGAAAAAACGCATCTTTGCATGTGTCAGCTGCACGAGCTCCATTCATTTAAACGAGAGACTTCTAAAGTCCACAGCGACTAAACTAGACTGGTCCAGAACACTCAGCATTGACACACATGTGGAACGGGCTTTGGGCCAAGAGCCAACTTTTGGACCATCCTGTAAAGACGTTTTCCAGAGGTCAGCTAATGCTATATGTTAGCATTGGCTAATTCTTATTCTGGGTCCACCCCCACAGGCCCGGGGTGGTACTGCAGCATGTCAGCGCACTTCATTTTGGCCACTTTTGAGCCGCGACCTTCCCACACTGGTTGAGTGTCTAAAAAAGCGCTATAAAAACAAATACAGTATAATTATTATTATTATAGTTATACACAATACAATACACAATACAATGTATTCTTGTATAGCCCTAGGTCACAACAGAAGTCATCTCAGAGACTTAACAAAACCATTGAAATCACCAGCACAGGTCAGAGAATCAACAGTTAAAACACATGAAGAATATAAAGCACACACAGAAGAAAATGTCCATACATGTTGTAGAATGCTAAAGTGTCCTGATCATCACCAATCCTTTCTGTTGGACACTAACTGTCCAACAAGACCCTCCTGCATCGACAAGGAAAAACTCTTAAAAAACCCAGTGGGAAAAAGTGAGAAACCTTGGAGGAGAACTAGGGAAACCCACAGGGAGGGAGACCCATTTGAGAAAGGGATCCGCTCCTCCGGACGGACAGGCTAATGATCTAGGACCTAAGCTAGCTACAGAACGTGGACCAGTGGACGCTGAACGTGGACAGGTGCAGGACCTAGTTATAAAAGGAGTGAGGCAGGTTAAGTCTAGACTTCAGCAATCAAGCATTATCATTTATCAGCACTTATGAACCAACGGCTCTGTGTGTTTTTTCATCATTGATTCTCTGATCTGTGGTTGCTAAAATTCCATATATACATATTTTAGTTCTTTTCTTAATGTAAAATGTACAAAATCTTTGAAAAATTGTGACCTAAGATCTGATGTCCATAACGACCAGAGAAAATAAACTCCTATTGGGTTTCAGTCTGAGTCGGAGCAGATCTAATGGTGTTATTGGAGCACTTTTTAATAGTCACTGCACAATTTGAACCTCAGTGACTTGTGAACGTCAACACACGCTGTGGGGGGTTAAGGACGCCATTTTGGGTCTGTTCACTTTAATTAATATCTGTGTTTAGAAAGAAGAAGAGTCACACCCCTTTGTCATCTCCACACGAGTGAAAAACCCACCGCTGCTTTAGGCCGGAGAGGATGAAGGGATGAGAACCACACACGTCTCTGTCCAGTCTTTTCTTGGGATTAGGAACGAAATCGATAAAACATTGTAAAAAGAGCAGTTCCCTCAAGTAAGTAAGTCCTCTTTATCAATATAGCGCATTTAAGCACTTTACAAGGTTCAGAGTTCAGATATTGTTCCATTCTCTCCACACGGTGATGACAGAAGCGAGACTCTGAACACACTGGTCCATCAAAGCCTCTGACCAAACACCCTCCATTCACTCTCATTACATTCAGACCTATTGTGCATGTTTTTAGTGGTAGGGGAAACCGTAGCACCCAGAGGAAACCTACGCAGACACGAGGAGAACATGCAAACTCCACTCAGAAAGGCCCTGTTCCACCGGGATTCAAACCCAGGACCTTCTTAAAACAGCAAGACAAGTTTCACAGAGATCCACAGAGATAATTACAGATCAACAGCCAGTTTTTATGCTACGTCCTTCTCAAAGACATAGAACAACATGAGATAGAGTGACGCACAGTGTTATGGTTTTTTATCTTGGATCAAACCGACTGGATTTGATGCAGATCTAAAACAAATTCTATGTTTTCAGCAGTTGGTTTTCAAAAAGATGGTGGAGGAAAAGGGTCAAACTGTGTTCGTAATGGAAAACATGGAGAAGAACTGAAAACAGACTAGACAAAAAATGGCAAGTACCAAATTGGGCTGTCATTCTTCCTTTTGTTCTTTGACTTTGAGAAGGACGTAGCATAAATCAGGGCTGTTGATCTGAAATAACACGTGTACTCACTGCTCATGTGCACTTTTCTCTGGGAAACTTCAGCTTCAGGGAATGTTCTGAGTCTGTTTTAAATCTTGAAAATAAAAAGTTAAATAAAAAAGACAGAAGAGAGGACATCATGGACTTTGGGATCTCTGAAAAACTAAGACGCTGCTGTTTAAAGGATTCAGAAATTGCAAATAATCTGAATAACAGAATGTTTACTGACAAAACTATGCATGATATTTCAGCCAATCACAGAGAGAGGCGAGGTCACATGACAGATCAGAGATTTAAACCAAAGCCGCTTGTCTTCCATCCTGAAGCGAGCAAACTACTCTTCAGTCTTTTCTCTTTTCTAATCCAATTCCATTTGTTTTGTATCGTCCTCAATCCCAACATGTCAGAGGACTTTACAAAGCTGTCGATTCTCCAACACAGATCAGAGAATCATCTTGGTCCTGATGCAGACTGAATACTGAAGCTTCAACTGTAGAATAATTCCCATTTCAGCCAAAAAGCTCAGTATTTACACTTCCTTTGGCGACTAATGTGTGATCCTAGTTTAACAAATCAAACAGGATTCATATTAGTCCAGAACAGGGGTCTCCAACCAGTAGCTCCGGAGCCACCAATAGCTCCCCATCCCCTTCCAGGTAGCTCGCCAAAGGAAATGACAAAATCAAATAGTATACTTACTATTTCAGATTGTATTAATTATTCTCATTATTTATTATTGTAAATGCACTTTGTCACTAGTAACACATATGTGATGATAAATAATCACTGTTCCCAATATCAGGCTTGTTCACACCCCCAGGCCTGTTTAAAGGAGTAGCTCTCTGCCTTTATGGACCCGGTAAAGTAGCTCTCTGCATTTATGGACCCGGTAAAGTAGCTCTCTGCCTTTATGGACCCGGTAAAGTAGCTCTCTGCCTTTATGGACCCGGTAAAGTAGCTCTCTGCATTTATGGACCCGGTAAAGTAGCTCTCTGCCTTTATGGACCCGGTAAAGTAGCTCTCTGCCTTTATGGACCTGGTAAAGTAGCTCTCTGCATTTATGGACCCGGTAAAGTAGCTCTCTGCCTTTATGGACCCGGTAAAGTAGCTCTCTGCCTTTATGGACCCGGTAAAGTAGCTCTCGGCCTTTATGGACTCGGTAAAGTAGCTCTCTGCCTTTATGGACCCTGTAAAGTAGCTCTCTGCCTTTATGGACCTGGTAAAGTAGCTCTCTGCCTTTATCAACCCGGTAAAGTAGCTCACTGCCTTTATGGACCCGGTAAAGTAGCTCTCTGCCTTTATCA